GGCACGCCCCCTGCTGGGCAGGGGCGGAGTCGTCGGCCGCGGCCTCCGCCGGGGTTAAACGGTCCGGCCCGGGATGGTGCAACCCACCAGTTGGGAAACCAGCTGGCCGAGACTTCCGGCCCACCCTCAGAGTCGCCAGAGGGCCGAGGGGCTTTCTGGCGATGGGGACAAGCCAGGACTCCGGGGGCGTGTTGGGCCCCCAGCCCCCCGTAGACCTTCTTCTCCTCGAGCCCTCTCCCCAGGGGCACCTGCAGCAACCGCAGCTCGGCTCTGCGCCCCTATCGCTTCCCTCCCACCACAGCCTCCCTTCCCCCGCAGGGTTATTTTGGGAACCCAGAGCCTGAGGGGACCTCGGAGGAATTTCTTTCTGGGATGGGAGGGGGGAGGAACCCAGGCGTCCTGCCCGCTCGGCCCCCTCCCGGGCTCCCGGGAAGGGGAGGTGGGGCTGTAGCGGCNGGTGGAGGTGGGGTTGGGAGGGAGCCCGCTGCGGTCCAGAGGCGTCTGCGGGATGCCTGAGCCTGGGAAACACGAGCTCCCCAGCCACCTCCTCCGAGAAGGCCCCAGGGGTCCCGGCTCAGCCTCTCCGCCAGCCATCCTCCTCCCAGCCGGGGCTCCTGCGACCCAGGCTCCCATACTGCACAGTTGAACCGTGAGCGCACGAACTGGCCGGCCACACGCGGACACAAAGAGTAGGGTGCCCAGAAGGGGGCGCCATTGCCGTGGGGGCTGGAGAGTGCCTGGACGACACCACCAGCAATTCCAGTACGCATCCACGCAGACACAGACACTCATTCCATACCCAAGGCTAGGGACCCACATTGGGGTGCAAAATGACCCAGCTTACATGCACCCGGGCCTCAGGCATTCGGGGGTCATCCTCCGTGTCACACACACAATGGCACCCACACCCAGCGTACACCTAGAACCCTCAGGCACGTATACCCAGCTCTCTACCTCAGAATGCAAACCCATTCCTGGGGCCGCCTCCCGGACCCTCTGCTCACTCCAGCCAGACCAGCCTGGAGTTCCTCAGCCATAGCATCGCTGACATCTGCACACGTGTGCACACACACCAGACACGTATGTACCTGCACGTATGTACACTCTCCCACATATGCACACACCCCCTGGGTGTGCGCACACACGCCCATTCGGACACCACCCCTTCATACGCGGTCCAGGGCCAGCCTTGGGGTCAAATACCCTAACACCCCCCCCCCACACACACACACACACACCCCGGCCACTGGCAGAGCTCGGCGCCACGGAAAGGATACCGTGCCCCTACACATACCCCCTACTGCGGGGGGGGGGGGCTCCTCCACGGAGTCCTCTGGCGGACTTTTCCTAGGAGCCACCCAGAGCCATCCCCTCCTGACTCCGCCACTTTCTTGCTGTGTGACCTTGAGAGTCACTTGGCCTCTCGGAGCCTCAATTTTCTCATATGTCAAAAGGGGGGTCCGCGGAGGAAGGTCCCACTGAAACCTGGCTGGGAAGGGCCGAGTGCGCCGCGATGCCGCCCCCTCCCGGGGTTGCCCAGGGCGCCTCAGCTCTCTCGGCAGCTTCTGCCGACCCCCGACCCCCGACCCCCTCCGCAGCCTCTCCACCCACCAACCCACTGCCGCCCCAGGGGGCCCCTAGGGGCCAGGCCCTCCTCAGCGCCGCGCCCCGCCCGCGCACGCTCCACTCACTCCTGGGACCGGCGGC